CCATGGTCACCACCCATCTTGAGGAGTTTGCCCCCTCACATATACTAATGTTCCACAAACAGGACTTTAATATCACCAACCATTCCCATTTTATTACGGTGTATCCATATAAATGGCCCAACCTGTATATCAGGAACGTCAGGACCTGGTCATTGTTCTCTCACCTCCATCACGTCCTCCTGATCTGTTTCTGCTGTGGTATGATCCAGTTCGAAACCAGAGTCCACTAAGGTTAGAAGACAAAAAGCTGACATCACAAAGGTTTTGCAGCTTTTTATGCATCATTTCCTTCTACTTGAAAATACATTTCATTCATTAAGATCAAAGCTGAACCGTGACCTTCCAAGTAAATCATCATAAAACATGAAATACACACATTTAGATGATCAAATTATCAGATTAACCTCAACTGTTCTGAACGTGACTGTCTTCTCATGGTTTTAGATCTTAAACATGTGAGTAGAATGTCTTTTCCAGAGCTTTAAACTAAATCTCTTATAAATATTTCTGTGGTGAGTTTAGGACACAAACATTTATAATCATTTAATACGTTCTTGATAACTGAGTTTCAGTACTCACAGGTGTCTGTGGATCTCATTGTTTTCTCCTGCAAACTGCAGACACAAGCACAACACCCACAGTTAAAGAGTTAAATGGTAAATGGCCTGCATTTGTATAGCGCTTTACTTAGTCCCTAAGGACCCCAAAGCACTTTACACTACATTCAGTCATTCACCCATTCACACACTGGCAATGGCAAGCTACACTGTAGCCACAGCTGCCCTGGGGCGCACTGACAGAGGCGAGGCTGGCTGACACTGGCGCCACCGGGCCCTCTGACCACCACCAGCAGGTAATCATGGGGTTAATATCTTTCCCAAGGATATTTGGCATGCACCCAGGGGGCAGCCTGGGATCGAACCACCAACCTTCTGATTAGTGGCTGACCTGCTCTGCCACCTGAGCTACAGCCAGGTTAAGAGAACGATTAAGTTTGAACTAACTTTATTAATGCTACCCATGAGAATCCCAAATAACTATTGTCTCTTATCTCTGCCCTGGATTGCAGCGCCACAGTAACCAAACTGGAACTAAACTGCAAAGGGGTCAGTTTTACCCCCTTCACATTTTAAACTGTGCATGACTCACATAAAATGAATCTTCTTCTTTCAGTTGCTCCCTTATTCGACAGTGGACAATCCACATGTCTAATTTGCAACAGATATTTTTGTTGGATGAACTTTCTAACTCCTCCCATCCAGGGACTTGTCTCTGGCTGTATCCCAATTCAGGGTCTGCAGCCTTAAAGTACGCATTTCAAGGCCGATTACGTCACAGCGGCGCGCCGAAGGCTGTCCCAATTCAAAG